TGGGTCTGAGCTTCTGGATCTAGGCAAGGCTTGAAGTTTAAATCCAAGCCAGGGAAAGGGGGTGGAGGCTCCAACCCCGCACAGCCAAGCTTGTGTGGGATGATGTGAGACCCACAAGGCACATGGGTGTGTTTGGGACAGGGTGGGTGTGATGGGAGCTTGCAGGTACTTAAGCTTCACTGCTGTGAAATACAGATATGTTGATGAAAGCAGCAGGAGAAAGGTTGGGAAATTGGGCACATGTCCCATGTGACTGGAGTAACTTCTCTGGGATGTCCCTGGTGCAACGCCCTAGGGGAAGGGAGCTTCCCTCTCACACTCCAGCAGTCCAAAGCAATGCACTGTCTTGCAAGGCAGCAGGGAGAGCTGCCAAGTCAGAGCAAGAAAGCCAGCAGGTACTGAGCTAACATCTCTGCCTCCATGTTCCTCAGGGACCAGTATGCACCAACTTGGGTCTCAAGCCTGGCCAGCGCCTCACTGTCAAGGGGAAAATTTCACCAAGTGCTAAGAGGTAAGTTGTACTGTGCTGCCAAGGCACCAAACAAAGTTGTCTTCTGCTGGTGGGGGACAGAAGGGATCTCTCCCTTGGGTGGGAGAAGAGCAGCTTTGGCAGGGGTTAACACCAGCAGTGCTTCCCAGTGAGTCATTGCCTAATGCATCTTGCAGACACAGCCTACTGCCAAGGGGCTAAGCCAAAGCAGATGTGAAACTCCGGCTGCATGCACTGGCAGTGACCACATCCTCTCTAGTGCAGGGTAAAGGAAATGGAAGCTGTGTCTATACTAAGATTTGGATTGAGACCATCCCCACAGCCATGTTCTCTCCTTTGCACGAAGATTGCCCAGGAGTAGGGACACCATTACAGTGGGCAGGAGAATTTTATAGCCCAAGCAGCTGGGAGGTCTTGGGTGCTCTGAGCCACAGCTCCAGCAGCAGGGAGTCCCAGGCTGTTGAAGTTTGCTTTCACCCACTGGAGATACCTGTCAGGTGGTGAGTAGGCAGGTGGGAGTAAGTAGAAATTTGCTCCTAACTCTGCAGGAATCAAGGTGGCTGGGACCCGCAGGGAAGCCTCTGCAGCAGCCCCCAGCCCTTGTGCAGGTCTGTGGCTGGTGGGGCCTCTTGGTGGGTAAGGTGGAGCCCATAGCTGCTGTACCAGCACTAGCAGTGTTCCAGGAAATATGTTCCAGCTCTTCCCAGTGCCTTTGAAGTTTGATAGTGTCAGAGTGAAGCCTTCTGGGCTTTCTCTTGCCAAATAACATGCTTCCTCTCTTCTCATCTGGGTAAGAGGCCTGGAGGCAAGGTGGACACTGGGCTAGGAAGCTGCTTCTTCCCACTGTCATTGCAGATGCTTTGGGATAGCTAATGACATGGTAATTATTTCAGCTGCCTGCAGGGTGGGGAGAAGGAAGTGGCTGTCAGGCAGGGTGCAGCACCAGCTAACTGTTTGGAGCTGAAAGGAAATCTGAAAAGCAACTGACTCCTTGGGGAGCTGGTTTGGGTGCAGGATAATTCCCTTTCAGGGCTCGAAGTGCTGAACTTTTCTCTTGTTAAAAGCTTTGTGGAAACTAAGTGGTGTCTCTCCTAGGGATGGCACTATGGGCCTATCACCGCAGCAGAGGAGAATACCCCTTACTGACACAGCACCATCTTCTTAGGGAAGCTGTGCAATTTAGCAAAGTGTTTATCTTCTACCAGAGGCATTCATGGTAATGAGCAACATGCTATCATAGTATTGATGTCTTTTTTTTTTTTTCCTCTGCAGTTTTGTGATGAATCTGGGGAAGGATGCTTCCCACCTTGGGCTTCACTTCAACCCCCGTTTTGATGCTCATGGTGATGTGAACACAATTGTGTGTAACTCAAAGAAGGTGGAAGAATGGGGTGCAGAGCACAGGGAGACTGTCTTCCCTTTCCAGAAGGGGGGCACAGCAGAGGTGAGGCCTGGGATGCACTCTCTGTACATGACCCAGTGAAGGGAGGGTGTTTGGCACAGGGCACCCAACTGTAGGGGCTGTATTGGGGCTGTTTGTATAGGAGGTGGCTGACTTCTCCTTGGCCAGTGCCACCATCCAGGGCTCTGAGCCCGATGGAGGGTGGGGATCAAACATGCTAGAAGGACCTTGCTCAAAGGGATGTTAGTATTGAACTAAGCAGGGAGTAGGCATCTCAGGAGACCAGAATAACACTCCTGCTGTTGAAGAGCAGGTTATGCTGCTAAGCATGTTCACACTGCAGAGTGGAGGGTGGCACAGCAATGCTGTGGAGAGAAAAAGGCTTGAGGGTATCTTGGCAGAAATTTTCTTTGACTTTGACTTTTTTTCCATTTGTCTTGCAGATCAGTTTCAGTGTCAACCAAAATGATCTGACAGTCCACCTGCCAGGCCACCAGTTCACATTCCCTAACCGGCTTGGTCTCCCTGTCTTTGACTACTTTGATACACAAGGGGACTTCACGCTCCAGTCCATCAGCTGGGAATAACTTCTAACACCTCTATATCAAAGATACAGAAAAAGCAATCAATAAATAAGTTTTGGTCTAGCCAGTCTCAATCTAATGTGTTTCATACTGCAAGTCTACATGGGTTGGCCACCTTGCTGGGGAGGTGGGGGGGAAGAAGAGTAGCCAACTTTGGAGTACCATATGTGGGTAGGAATGTGCCAGCCTTGGCCCTTAGTCATAGATGGAGAAGAGGGTGACGGACAAAAGCCTGGGAAGGCAGAAAGTGAAAACCCTAAGGGGAGCCTCAGGAGGAATCATCGGGGCTAGAGATGACTAGAGTGGAAGGGTCCCTTAGGCAGTGTCACCCACTCTTGAGGTCTAGACTGACCTTACCCTGCCTGAGTAAAATGGGTTGATGAAATCTATTTCTCTCTAAACTAAGCATCTGTGGCTGGATTCAGACAGCCTTGAGTTGCTGTGCTAGGTAAACCTACTGGGGCATGGAGTGAGGGGAAAGTCCTCAGTGGTGCTAGCTTTGGCCTGCACTTCTCTGTAAAGGCTGGTCCACTCATTACACTGGTCTCCTATGTCTTCTTGGAACCTCTGGCTGCTTGTATGGCTACAGCAGTAGAAAAGGATGTCTTGCTGGGTGTGGTGGAGCATGCAGTGGGCTCTTCATTCGAATCCTTTCTTCCAATAACTGCAGAAGCAATAATACTGTTGGGCCAGTAATCTAGAGGGGTCTGGTTTTATTCTGCCCCATGTGCTTTGCCTGGTCCATCCCAAGCTGGGAGAGGTAGCAATGCCCAGATGGGGTGTGGGATGCTAAGGATGTGTCCACTGTGCTTTTGTTAACCCTTCACTCATGTTAGCCTAAATGAGCCTTAGTACTTCTCAGTCTAATCTGAGGCTAGCTTCTCAAGATGACAAGGCATTTTTGATGTTATGGCACAGTTCTCACTGGACTGTGGGTCATTACCCAAGGTGCCAGCAAGCAGCTGCCTGGGGGTGCTCCCCCAGTCTAATGATACTGTGACAGCAATGACTACTGCTGTTGGGTAGGCTGTGCCTGGTGGGCATAGGAAAGGTAGGAGCTGCCCTTTCCACAGTCCACAGCAGCTACCAGGTAGGCCTGGAATGGAAGGACCCAACCTTTGGGTCCTCATTTCCAGGCTTGTCCATGAGCAACATGAAGCACAAACAATTTGATGTCTTACAAGGACTCCCTGCAGGCCTGGCTCAGCTGATTCCTCCCATTAAGCAGCTGCAGAGCAGCTGGAGCATGGGAACTTGCTCCGATGGCAGCAGCACCTCTCATTCTTGCTCCACAATTCATGAGGCTCTGCCAGGTCCTGTGTCTCAGATAGATACCCATGCAGAGGGAGGCTTGGCTGCTAGGAATTGAGGGGCTGAGGAGGAAGAGAGAGATGAGTTGGAGACAGGGGCTCAAGATGGGCTTTTGTGCTGGGAGGCAGAAACACTTGGGGTGTACAAGCAATTTGTACTGCAGCTGGATCTCTCTTGAAGCCCCATGTTGCCCACAGCCAGTCTGCTCTGGATAATCACATCCCGCTCTTTAGGGCTACATCTATAATAGTAAACATGACCTCTAACATTGCCAACCTGTGCATAGGCATGGCTGGGGGACAGCATAGCTTGAGGACTCTGCCTGTGGGGTGATATGGATGAGGCCATCCTTTCTGGGGATGAAAAGCGAGTTTAGCTGTATGGAAGTAAGGTGCACACTAGGCTAAATGGCTTCAAGGCGAGAGACCTGGCCCAGTTCATGCAGTGGTGTTGACGCAGTCTGACAGACTGGGGTACACGGTATTTGGTAGGCCAGAGAGTCCCACAGCAGGGACTGGCGCTGGTGAGGGCCCCCTCCATGAGCAGTGATGATGGACACGTAGTGGAGCTCTCTCCTTGCAGCTTCCTCTGCTGGGCTGATCTTGAAAGCTAAGCAAATGTGCTGACCTCCCCGAGCTGTACTGCAGGGCAATCTCACGTCTCTTAACTGCATTTGGGAGTCTTTTTTAAGAAAGACTCTTCAAAGATTTTTTTGTGGTGGGTGGGGGAAGAAAGCTGCGTGTGAGCTTAACCACAAGAGGATGAACCTTATTCAGGTCTCCTGCTAGCGTGGCTGCTTCCTGAAGTGACTCACTGGTCCTGTGAAATCTGTGACTCACTGTTATCCTAACTTTGTTATGGCTTGGCTCGTTGCTAGTGAGGAGGTGAGGGGTGGCGAGGGTTCCCCAGCTGTATAATTTAGATGTATCAAGGCTGACTGCTCCCTTCTACACACTCCCCAGCCTTGCGCAAGGTGGAGGCTGGTGTGCGAGGGCTGAAGGACCAAAGGATGGAGTCAAGAAAATGTCCTCCTCCTAGCTGAGGAGGGTGAGCAGCCTTGCAAAGGGGAAGGCATGAAGGGGAAGGCACCGCAACAACTTCGATGGAAGACACTGCACACCAGCATGGAAGGTTATGTACTTTTATTTCTTGGCTCAACCCCAGCCAAAGGCTGGAAGATGTTCCCAACGTGGGGCACTGCTCACCCCTTACTTTACCCCACAGACCCCGACAACATCCTAAAAGCCAGGGGCGTGCTGTGGCCTCCCACCAGGCCTTTTGCAGCCTCCTGGGAGGGCACCGGGGGCCGTGCCGTGCCCATGCCGCTGCAGCCAGGACGCCGGCGGTAGCTGCCAGCAAGCAGGGTGTAGAGGAAGGGGTTGATGCAGCTGTTGCCATAAGCAAGGCAGGTGATGCCGAAGTTGAGGTAGGCCTGGGTGGCGGGGCTGATGCCCAGCCCCTTGCTCCAGTACAGCCCAGCCAGCTGCCAGGCCCAGAAGGGGAGGAAGCAGGCCCAGTAGGCCACCACGATGGCAGAGATCCTGGAGAAGAGCCGCCGGGTGGAGGCCCGGCCCGCCACTGGCAGCCCCGGGGCCCCG